TTTTTCATATATTTATTTGCTGCTTTTACTTCTTTGAGAAATGTCTGTTCATTTCAGATGCCCATTTTTGAATTGGGTCTTTGAATTTGGGGGGTATAATTTTTTTCAGTTCTTTATATATTCCAGATAGTAATCCTTTGTCTGAGGTACAGCTGCTAAAAAATTTTTTCCATATTGTAGGTTTTCTGTTAGCTCTGTTGTTGGTTTCTTTTGCAGTGCAGAAGCTTTTTAATAAGATGAGATAGGTGGATCAGTTTCTTCACTGTCATGCCGATCTATGATCCACAGGTTATAGAAAATATATAAACTAATCAGAGTACTATTTACTTTAAGTTTGAATGACTCGGGAGCAGAAGCTGTATTTCAGTCTTGATAATGACATTGCATTCCTTTCTGTCAGCACAGTGTGTGGCTTCAGAGCCCTGAGCTGCAACTACCACATGGTTATAATGGGACCACAGCCAGTGGAAGGGAGGCATAGGAAGAAGATGTGTGGCCAGAAAAGAGGAGTTCTGGGTCAGTGCTCCATCACCATGACCTTGCTTTTCCCCCTGATAAACGTGGAGCCCTGGAGCCCATGTGGGACTAAGCTATGGAGGCTGAAAGAATTAGACCTCTGGCTAGGGGGTGAGAGTTAGTACTTGACTGCTAATGCTGTTTTAAAAATAAAGATGAAGGAAATAGTAAATAGAGTGGAAATACCCAATCCTTCACCCCACTGAGTTTAGTATCATTGGCTTCACAGATGAAAGCTGGTCCTAAGTTTAGTTTAAAATACCATTGAATTGCATTTATTTATCTCTGTGTTTAATTGGTACAACCCTATAAACAGTACTGTAAAAATCAACTGGGCATAGTGGCACACACCTGTGATACCAGCACTATGGGAGGCTGATCATCAGGGAGATCATCAGTTCAACCCCCATCTGGGCAATTTAGCAACTGAGCAAGACCTTGTCTTATAAAAATAAAAAATGTGTTGGCGATGTACCTCAGTAAGAATGTTCTGGGTTCAATCCCCACTACTGAAAAAAAAAATCAGTTAAGATATTGTTTTTTTAAACTGCATTGCCTTAAACAAAAGAAAAAGGTAAATGACAAACTGGAAATAGCCACAATTCTTATTACAAAAAGGAGTTAGGTGTTTAGTAATGTATGTACCAATAAAGACAAGGATTGATAATCAGGGTGCACAAAATATAAGTGAGAAGTACAAGTAGAAAATGGACTTGTCCACTTGTCAAATAATAACTAATCTTTTTCTTAATTCAGGTGAAAATGATATATCATGCTAAATTGCAGCATTTTCATACACTTTCTTTATGAAGGTAGCAGTTGTTCTAATTCTCCTTGAAGGCCATTCCCTAGTCTTTTAAAGGATCGCCAATGTTTGTGCTGTGTGAACTACATCAGAAAGTCAGATCCCCATAAAGGTGGGGATGGCGCTGCCCCATCTGTATAGTCACTAGTGAGTAAACAGTGAAGTAATGACCACTGTTAGAGTTAAGACTACGCCAACATTGGCACAAACAGCTTTTAGGAGTATGTACTGTCTTGGGAAGTGTTCACACCACAGGAGGTGAAACAAGCCAGGCCAAAACCTCTGCACACTCTGCCATGCAGTATCCTGAGGAGTCTCCCAGACCCTAACACTGACCATGGGGCTCTCTGGTTCTTTACAATACACATGGCTTTTGCTTCCTTCATATTTTTCCATAATGTGTATATTTTCTGGAGAGACCTTATCTTTCTTATCATAATAAAACACTTTATTTTCAAGAACAAGTTTAAAATGTACCACAGAGATGGTAATTTCAGGAAGCCTGCAGTGACTACTAGGTTATTTTTGTAATACAAGCATTCTTTCATGTATGCATTTTTTATATTCAAAATTTTATATTTGCATTTTTTCTTACACAGTATATACTTACATATGAGTTAGTAGAACCAAAAACATTGTATTTTAGAAACTACTTAAAGTTTTCCAGTGTCAGTAAGCACAATATTCTTACATATTTACAAATTTTCACCGAGAATTGAAAATGCTCAATTGACTTATGCATCAATGTCGTATGTGTGCTAGATTATACCTCAGGAAAATGACACCCGCTCCAGCCTGACATACAAGTACATCATCCATGAGGACTCTGTGCTCACCATCAACAGCAACAACGTCATCCAGGATGAGCTAGACACATTCGAGTGGGCACTGAAGAGCTGGTCTCAGTGCTCCAAGCCCTGTGGTGGAGGTACAAGTTGAGAATGTTTGTTATATTAAAATGCAACCCATGAAATAGCCATCTTGTTCCTGTTTTCAAAGACAGTGTCTAATTGAGGCTACAGTCTGAGAAACACCAAACATAGCAACCAAAATGTAAACCCAAAACATTATTATGGAAATTTGTGGAATCAGCAAAAGAGAGGATTCCATTTGTAACAATGTTTTCATAGCCTCTTACACAATTAACTGACTTTTTCTTCTCTTCTTTTATTTCTAGGGTAAAATTTTATGAATGAATGAGTAGAATTATGTTATTTTCCTGATTAAAATCTTTAGTCTTCCAGTGGGTTGCTCTGAACACATGACATTATTAAATTAATATTCTTGCCCAAAAGTGAATAACCTAAATCTTGTCATTCAGAGCCATTAAACAAACCAAACTGTGGGACACTTTACAAAATGGCTGGCTTATACACCTCAAAAAATATTAAACGCCACAAAAGACAGAAAAAGGCTCAGAAATTATTTCTTTTCTTTGTTTTTTTTGTTGTTGTTGTTGTTGTCGTTTTTTGTACTGGGGATCGAACTTGGGACCTTGCACTTACAAAGCGGGAGGCAGCACCACTGAGCTAAATCCCTGGCCCAGAAATTATTTGATAGAGGCTAAAGACACATAGTTTAATGTAACACGTGATCCTTAATCGGAAAAGCATTGTTGTATAGAACATTATAAAGATAATGACAGGTGTTGAATATGGTCTGAATACTGTGTTAAATAACAATTACATTGTGTTAAATTTCCTGATTCTAATTATATTGTAGTTATGTACTTGTTATGAAATACTTAGGAGTGAAGGATCAATATATCTGTAGCTTTCATAATTCAGAAAAAATTTAGACATGCAGTAAATTTTTTACATAATTCACATCTATATTCATACTTACTTTATATAGTAAATATGATGACATAGTAACAAGATGGCATACAAATGTTCTTTGTGCTTTCCTTACAGCCTCTTTGTAGGATTAAAAATTTTCAAACTTTTATAACTTGTATTTTACAAATATGAAAATGGCAAATGTTGGAAGACCTTCTCTAGTCAGTCCCCGTGGCCTTCAGGATAAAGTCCAAATCCTTCTCTCATGCTCAAGGTCTCCAGACCTGATCCTCTTTTATCTCCTGAAGGTTTTTGTTACCTCCTGCCCTTGGGTGTACTCCTGCTTCATTTCCTTCACTTGATACCTTGAACTCCAGGATTTTTCTGCTCCAGGAAGTACTGATCCTGGGTGCTTTCCTTGCTCCTCCTGCACGTCCAGACCTTTGTCCTTGTTCCTTTGTTGTTCTCTGCAGATGCCAGTCACAGAGCACCGTGAAAGCCTTGGCCACTGGGCTTCTTGCAGTGGTTGTTTTCGTGTCTTTCTCTCACACTAGATTGTACCTGTCCAGGATCTAGTTCACTAGTAAGTGCACAGCTGCCTAGCCATAAATTTTTGAGATTTATTAAATCTAGGCGAGAAAGGTAAGCATTTTTTCACTTAAAGTGATAGAACCTCTAAGACTTATTACAGTAATTAGCTTACTATGCATGCAAATATTTATGAAATGAACAAATGAATGTATAAGTGAATGTTATTCAACAAATAAATGACTGAATTCAGAAAAATGTGTTTCATTTTCCAGGTTTCCAGTACACTAAATATGGATGCCGTAGGAAAAGTGATAATAAAATGGTTCATCGTAGCTTCTGTGAGGCCAGTAAGAAGCCGAAACCTATTAGACGAATGTGCAATATTCAAGAGTGTACACACCCATTGTAAGGATTTATTTCAACTGTTATATTCTGAGGCCAATTAAGGGCCCCAAAGTCTTTAGCTCTTTTCAGCTTTAATTTTTACTCAGAGCTCTACATGTGCCTGGTTTAGGTAATCAAATCATTTCATAGGAATTATACAGAAATCTGTGGTTCCCTGCCTTGATTCCATCCCGCTCCTTCAACTGTTACCTTTCGTTTGAGGTTTGGTAATTAATTATTTCCATCTGTCTTAGTAAAATACCTTTGTTTCTATGCCTTGACTTTTGGGGGTCAATAGCTTGTATTATGTATTGAATTTTCACTATGGAATGTGAGGACTAAGCATTTTATAACAGCACCCATAGCCCACAGTCATTCTTTTCCTAGTATTCCAATATTGATAATACTATTCTGATAACAATATTCAGGGCTTATATTAACAAATATCTCTGAACAGGTGAGTCACATAGAATGATCTGATTATGTTTACATTCTTCTAGAATAAATGGAGGCCTTGATTTTTATGTTTGTTTTCTCCTACTTTTCACAAACTCATGCTTAAACTCTCTTCCTTGTGTATCTGTCCCTCTGAATAGTATCCTTTGGCCTTCATCTTTGTGGAGACAGAAGAATCCTCTGTGTCCCAGTTCCAGCTTGAGCTTCTTCTACTGAGCTTTTTCCCTGAGATTTCTCTTGCCCCTCTCTTGTGTGGGAACTCTTGTTTCCTGTAGTAGTTGTTTGCTCATCTCTTCATTCATATCTTTCAAGAATTTCATACAAAAAGTATATACGAAGTAAATGTTTACATTAGAATTAATTCTTAGACACCTAGGAGAAGTATGTAGGAGTTTGGGTATAAAGACATCTTTCTTCTACTCTTCCTCCTCATCATTTGGAGACACATACACACATATACAGTTCTGAACTATTTTCCCTCAGAATCTTAACAATGTGCTTCCATTGTTTGCTACACTCTAAGGTTGCTGTTGAAAATTAGTTGTAATTCTGATTTTCAGTTCTGTCTACCTGAGCTGTTTTGTCTTTCAAAGTGTGTGGGATCTTTTTGTTCCTAGAAAACTTCAATTTCACAGTGAAAAGAGTATCATGGTCATCTCTTTTTGTACATGGTGCTATGACTTGAGAATTTTTCAGTTGACAATGTGGTATTTTAATATGAATGATACAGTCAAGCTAATCAATATCCTTCACCTTACATTCTTGTCTTCTATGTGTATATATGATGTGAACATTTTACAAACTGCAATTGCAGTTTAGCAATTTTAAAATATATGTAACATTATTGTTAACTATAATTACCATATTGTACAAAAATAGCCCTTGTAGTCAAAACTTTATATCATTTAACCAGTATCTCTCCATTCTCTTTTGCCCCTGCCCCATCCAGCCTCTGGTGATCACCTTTCTGCTCTCTACTTCCATGAGTTCACTGCTCTTAGATTCCACATGTCAGGTCATGCACTATTTGTCTCTTTGTGTCTGGCATATTTTACTTAACAAAATGTCCCCCAGGTTCATCCATGTTATTGCAAGTGACACTTGTAAACTTTTAAAACATAAAACCAGTATCTTTAATCTCTGGGAGATTTTCACTGAAAATTTTCTGTGATGTTTTTCAGTGTTCTTTCTTTTTGAGAGATTTGGTAATTCAGCTTTATTCAATTTGTTGAGTTTTGCAGTGTTGCTATCATATCAACAATATCCAAAAGTTTTATTTTGTTCAGTTATTACTTTATCAATATTTTGGTCACTATTTTTTTTTTTTGGTACCGGAGATCGAACTCGGGTCCTTGCGCTTGCGCAGCAGGCAACGAAACCATTGAGCTAAATCCCCAGCCCTATTTTGGTCACTTTTAGGATATTAAATATGATTTCCTTTGTATAGCTTATTTCTCAGTATGTTCCTTCTACCCCATCTGGTTCGTCAGTGAGTATATAACTGAGATGTACTGTCTTGTTATCCTTTGCAATGTCATTTTCCCACTGCAGTTGTTTTTTCTTTCTATATATATGAAGTACCAAAATATATCCACTAATTCTTTGTTACTCTGGTATTCATGTTTAAGACTGCCCTAGCCTCTCAAATTGCCAGTCAAATGTGTTACAGCAGTGGACTATCATTTTGGTCTGTTTTGAAGATCTAAGCGGTGACTATTATGAAAAGACAAGCATTAATGAGAAGTGCATTTCATAGACAGAGACAGTTCTGGTTACCATATGGATTCAATCATCACAGTCCTGTGGGACTCAGTAACTATATAAAAGGGGAACTGCCCAAAGACAGTATCCAGAGCTGATTTGGACAAGGATTGGGCACTGATGACACAGAATTTTATAATGTTTCATAGGAAATCTTTCTGAAAATGTCACTTCAAACTATCCCTCCCTTCCTGGGAGCAGTTTCCATCTGGGCCTGGAGGCACACGCTGCCTTTACCTTTCTGTTAGGCCCAGTAAAGGCCAGAAAACTGACTTCCAAACAGGGTAGATACACGCTTCATAGCAACTACTATAAAAATAGAGCCATCAGTCCAGTTGGAATATTAAAACAGAAATAAACTGTAAATTTCATGAGGGCAAAAAAAAAAAAGACAGCAGCAGCCAAATCTGGTGCCTCAGCAGCCATAGATGGTCTGTTTCATACACTTTTTGGTGCTGCACATCATTAGCAGTATGGCTGAATGTGAGGAGGTGTTTCTGAAAGCCACTCTCATGCTGGCCTGCCTGGACAGACACAAGATGCGTATCAGAAACTCTCTGTAGAGTGTCCTTTGGGATGGAAGATTTGAAAGTCACTGGGAGGCACGAAGAATAGGAGAGGAAGTGAGAGGCGTGGGGCCTAGATGCTGCAGCTGCCTGCAGGGTGGCCCGCTGGGTTGCAGGTCACTTGGGGAGCTCTAAAGTCCAGGAGCTTACACCCCACACTTCCCAGTAACACTGCCCTTTTTCAACCTACACGCACAGCTGGGTGGCAGAAGACTGGGAGCACTGCACCAAAACCTGCGGCACTTCCGGCTACCAACTCCGCACCGTGCGCTGCCTTCAGCCACTCCAGGACGGCACCAACCACTCGGTGAACAGCAAGAACTGTGTGGGAGATCGTCCCGAGAGCCGCCGGCCCTGCAGCAGGGTGCCCTGCCCAGCGCAGTGGAAAGCAGGGCCCTGGAACGAGGTGGGTGTGCAGAGTTCACATGCGGTGCATGAGTGCCAAGCTAGCTCTGTATGAACACAAAGCTGGCAAGTTTTGTCATCACTGGAGGGTTAGGAAATTAGTCCTTGAAACTGTTTGCAGCGAAGATTAGCCGGTAGGCAAATCACAGGTGGTGCTCTGTGACTCGGAGGTGTCTGAGAAGTAATGTCTTGCAGCTGAGGTCCTTGTTGACGGCCTGTTCCTGCAGATCATTCCAAGCCCAACCCGGATCAGAGCCATGCTTCACCCTAACTCTTCTTATTCTGACTCCATTCCAGCTTTGTGACCCTCTTGAATACATTTCTTTCTGCTTCGAGCAGACTGTCCCTGCCCTAGCCTTCTCCCTCCCTGTGCTTCTCTCTGCCTTCCATCCCGATTCCCACCCTGGCTGTGCCCCCCAGCCTCCCTGCTCCGAATGCTGAGGCGGCACAGTCTCCCTCTGGCTGACCACGCCCTTAGCTGCCCCAGCACCCAGGGGCCCTGGTGTGGGTACAACTTGTTCAGTGACTGGCTGGCCCCTCGTTGTGTCACCTGTAGAACCACTTGTGTGTAGTAATTCCTAAAGGCTCAAAATAAGGAGTTGTGGGCCTGTAGGAAGAAAGGGCCTAAAAATCAGAGGACAAAAGGAAAAGGTAGGGTACAGGTCTAGGAAGGAAGGAGGAAGCCATGCAGGCCACCCACAGCACATGGGGGTGGTAACCACATCCCTGCCTCCTCAGAGGCCTGGACAGAGGTCCAGCTTCTGCCTAGGTGTCAGCACATGAAGTTGTAGGCCCAGCTTTTGAGCAGGAAGCCCCTTCATGACGGAAAAGGATTCATGGGAACAAAGTGATACTTGTTCCAAAGAGGTTGAATTAACCAAGGTAGCTTGTCAGGAAAGTCTGCATCTGTGAGAAAGATAAAGGAGCGGGGGAACCTCAGTGCCATGACTGGCTCTCCAAATGCAGCAGGACTAACATCGTCCTCTCGATGGATGATAAACACTGTAACTCCAGCCTTTGTTTCCTAGTGTTCTGTGACATGTGGCGAAGGCACTGAGGTGAGGCAGGTCCTCTGCAGGGCTGGAGACCGCTGTGATGGAGAAAAGCCTGCGTCCATGAGAGCCTGTCAGCTACCACCCTGCAATGGTAGGTGCAACTCTGACTTCCATGCACAACCTCAGGAAGCAGAATTTCCTTCCAGGATAAGCTCTGAAACATATTATTGAGAGTTAATCAAAGGAAAATACTCCTGAAATATGTGTCAGAGAAAACCATTTGGGGCACTGTCCTGTGCCATTAGTAGTCAGGACCCTGCAATGTTGGAATGCATCTGTGTGAGGCAGAGGTAGCTCTGGTCAATTTGTGTTCCTGGTACGGGCAACTTATTTTTCTCTGTTATATTCTTTATCTATAATTTCATCTCATTTTAAAAGGCATAATATCATAGCAGGTTTTGAAATATATTACTGAAATCATCATTTTATTTATTTTTTTTGAAATCATCATTTTAGAAGTGTGCATGATAAATGCAACTCAACTCTAAACCCATTTCCAATAACCATCCATTCATATAGAAGGTGATTTGAAATAATCATCCTGCACATGTTGTGCAATTAAGCAATTGCCTGACTCATCAGCATGCTGTATTACAAAAGTGGAGTTTATTTTATTTAAAATAAAACACAAAAATTATACTGGATGATGTCCGTGTCTGTCAAACTATCTCCTTTTGCTCCCTTTTCTGTTGTGCTCTCCATAGACAACTGGTTCTGTCCCTAAATGTTTTTTGCTTTCTTTGACCTTATCCTGTCAGAGAGGGCATGCCTACCACACATGCTCTCCAGGTCTCACTTCCTCATGTTTCCCTCTCCCTAATGGTACCTCTCTCTTCCTTTCCTTTTTCTCTCCTCTCTCTCTGCTTCTCCCTTGTTTTGTCTGTCCCTCCTTTTCTCTTGTCTCTCCTGTTGTCTTAGTTTATTCAGGCTGCTATTGTGAAATATCTTAGAGCAGATAATTTAGGAACAACAGAAATGTATGGCTCATAATTCTGGAGACTGGGAAGGCCAGGATTAAGTTGCCCATTGATTTGTGTCGGGTGAAGCCTTTGTAGATGGTTTTTTCCTTTGTGTTCATGACATGGAAGGGGCTGGGGAGCAACCCCAAGATTCTAGGTTCACTAACCCTGTTCACAAGTCCTCACCTTGGTGACCTCATCACCCTCCAGAGCCCCCACCTCCTAGTGCCGTCACCTCGGGGTTATGTTTCAGCATTTGAAGTTTGAAAGGCTACATGTATTAAGACCATGGTACCCACCCACCCTCCTCCTCCCTCCCAGCCCCCTTGTCCCTGCTCCCACCCTTGTTTCCTGCTTTCCCTCCATCTCCTGATCTACCCATCCCCACCATCACAACCTTCATTTTAAATGCTGTTCTCCTAAAGCCACCCCTCATGATAGCTGTTGGCATTGCTTTGACACACTAATGAGGCTCAGGGCTGAAGAAGTTGCTTTCTCTTCAGCCTCCAACTCTCCAAGTAAACTACTGGTTCTGTGCTTCTTTTTGAAAAGAAAATTGGTAGGACACTATTGTATTAAATATCTTGTATTTTGAACATTTCAATCTTCCAGTCTTTATACCTTAATGTCATGAATTTTCATTTGAAATGACAAGAATAAGTATGACCATCAGGGGGAGACACAAGACTACAGTATTTTTGGTCATTTCACTGGACAGCTCAAAACCTAAAAGTGCAAACTGACCCAGTTAGAAACTTCATTTCTTGTCACTGTACTGTTTGTTCTTCCATAGTTGCTGCTGTTGGGAGGCAGCTTCACTTTCCTTAATTGCTGGCAGAGCTAATGAGTTGCTACATATGTGCACAGTACCAGGAGGAAGGTGCTTCATTGTCCTTCTTAGCCAGAAGAAAATATTTTTATCATAAAACCAAGGTGCTGAGGAGGTGACATAACTATGTTAGTGGCTCTACACTCCTCTTAGCTGCTCCATTACTCTGGAATTTGGGCCAAAAGACTATTTCTAGATGTGCTCAAAGGTCACACATTTCTACCATATTTCAGTCAAATATGTAACAGTTGCCTTCAGAGTCTCAAGCTGTTAGAATCAAATGATCTTTTAAGATCAGGTATAAAATCCCTTTTCTGAAGTTCTTAGAAGTATAGTGAGAATGCTGAAAAGCTTCCAGAATTTTACTGATTTTGTCACATGACCCCATATTTTGGTTGTAATAAATATCTAATTATTTGCCTTGAAGCTTTCTACTCTGTGCCTAGACAAATGACCATAAAGTGAATGGATATCTCCAATCATATGCATTTCTCCTCAGAATCTGCCTGCCCTTTCCTCTTCCTTGTAGCACCACCTCCTGTGTCTGAGAGCCACAGGCTGGGAATGGGTCTCTGCAGCCCCAGGGTGCCCCTGCTTACAGTAGCTACACCCTTGAATCCTCCTGTAACCCCGGGGCACAAGGCTGATGGGCAAGGAGCCAGAGGAAGACAGAATATGGGGCTGAGGTCCTGTCATGCTGGGGCCTAAAACTGTGAACAGAATGGAAGAAAAAAATCTCCTTATTTTAAGATACAGGCATAGAAAAATAATTCACAAATGGTGAGGAGGTGAAACTTTTTCATGTAATCTTCAGGCAATCAGAGCATAGCCAGATAATTACTTAAACTAACACAAAACATCAGACATGCACTGCATGAGAGACCTGCAAATGTCAAAGCAGTGTGAATCAGTCCACAGTTTGGGATGGGCACCAGGTGACAACTCACAAAGTAAATAATTTTAGCCCTCTACTGACTTCAACAACTGATCTTCCTTTTTCTCCCTAAAACCTTGGAAAAAGGATTCTTCTGTTTCCTTGGCAAGCTACAGAGCAGGGTACATACTTTGCAGTATGCCGTGCCCCATAGTTCATTGTATTCCATAGATGCCAGTGTATAGGTCCCAGTTTATGCAGTGGATGTGGGGCAGTGTCTCTGTGGTACACATCTCTGGTGCCACATGCATTTTTCTGCTTGTTACAGAGTCATAGGACCTGGCTTCATCCCTTAACAGGAATTCTGGCAGGACTGGGGATCCATCCACATGAACACTGTCAAAAGTTTTGTATTTAGATTTTTCTGAATTCTAGTTTTTACAACCTGCAGTCAATAAAACTTTAAAAATAGTGTGGCTATATTTTGTGAGTGTTTTTTCACTCCCTTTTAAACATAAAATGCTATCAATTCAATGAAATTTTAAAAGGTGGCATACTTTACCCAAATTTGTGCTTTCAAATAGCAATCCAAGAATATCCAATGGTAAGCATAAAACTATTATTTTGAAGCCAGACACTAAAAATAATGTTTTCATTTTTCTTTTGGTCAGACATTTTTAAGGTATCTTTTGTTCCAATTGGTCTTTAGTGTATGACTTTAAATTTAATATAGAGGATACCCTATTAGAAAACCAGAAATAGAATATAATGCAGTTTTTAAAAAGATGTCTCTTTTTATCCTAAAATGTTTGTAGTAAAATAAATTCTATTTTCTCATTCTAAAATCAGATATATGTTCCTACATAGAAGAAAAAACTACGTTCAGTCATCCGAAGACTCTTGATAGAGATTTTACAATGTGGCCCTCCCAAATACTTTGTAGACAAAGAACTATTGACTTTAGTAAATTCGTCTTAATGTTTGTATTTTTAATGCAAAGGTTCATGTGGACATTTCCCACTGATGTCAGATTCTACCAAAATCTTTCTATGTTCATTAACAGTTTTAATTTCTCCTCTTTTACTTTACATTTAAAGTATGTGTAATAATTTTTCTTTTGAATTTCTGCAGATGAGCCATGTTTAGGGGACAAGTCCATATTCTGTCAGATGGAGGTGCTGGCCCGGTACTGCTCCATACCAGGTTACAACAAATTATGCTGTGAGTCATGCAGCAAGCGAAGTACCCTGTCACCACCATACCTGCTGGAAACTGCTGAGCCTCATGACGATGCCATCTTTAGCCCCGATAACCTCCCCAGTACTCTAGTGATGCCCACAGCTTTGGGTCCTTACTATCCAGAGATGCCTGCTGAGAAAAAACCTGTAGGTAGCATTTCTTCAGGCGGAAGCCCAAATGCACATGCTTCTTTCAGGCCAAACAACAAGCCTGATGGTGCTAACTTTCCCCAGAGCGGGGCTTGGCAGGCCAGAAGTCAGACACTAAGCCTGCTCTCTGTGCCATCTTCCTCATCCACCAAGGGTGACCACCTCCACTCAGACTCAGAGGTAGCTGCTGCTCCCTTCCTTGAAGTCAATGATTCCATAGGTGCTTCTCAGACAAGAACCTCAAAGAAAGATGGAAAGATTATTCATAAGAGACATCCAATAAGCTCGCCCACCTTAGAAAGATGAGAAAAGGAACCTAAAAGACAAGGAATCAGAAGGAAACCTGGACAACCTCCCTCTCAGCATGGTGCATACACCTTGTTTAAAGTGGAAAGTGTAATAGATCATCAACTCCCTTTATCTGTCAGTGGAAGAACAAAAAGTGCGGGTTCACTTTCTCATTGCTTTCATCCTCCTTCTCTTCTACACAGACTCACCTGCCAGTATTCATTGGAAGAAAGCACGAAAGATTACTAACAGAAGGAAAGTAAGTGGCTGCACTGGTCACTCTCTAAAGAAGAAAGGGGACTAGAAGGAACTGTGCATATGAACTGATTTTTTTGTTTTAAAAAAGTAAATATTAAAGAGATGCCAACAGTTTACACTTCAAGAAGAAATTTTGGAAATGGGGCAAAGGATTCTTAGACTCATATTCTTATTTATCTATATTAGAAATGTATGAGAATTTGCAGCTGTTGTGTAAATATTGTATATTGCAGAAATCCATATTATTTTAAAAGATGTTCTCAGAATGATTGTTTACTATCTTACATTTCTGGATGTTCTAGGTGCCTGTCATTGAGTATTGCCTTATTTGAATTATTTGACATTCTATAGGTTGGCTTTCAAAGCAGAATACTACAGAGAAGTTAGAATTACAGTTACTGAGAATACAGTGTTCTGTTGTATGGTTTTTGTTAAATCAGCAACATGGTTCCTAAGTTATAGAAAAAGAAAAAGACAGAGAAGTAGATCTCATTGTCCCCATTGCCCTCCATCCTTATAATTGGAAGTTTAGTACACTTGAGGTCACAGGGAAAGTAAGTGCCTGTGCAAGACAACCCTGAAGTCTCAATCAAGGTGTTCTGTGTTCTTGTTTTGTTTTTTAATTTTTCCATTGGTGATATTTGAACAGTAGTACTTGATGTACTATAATAGCCACAGAGGAAACATGGGGATAATTTATGTATTGTTAGCTGAGAAAGTTGTCATCAAACTGGAATTGACAAGCAAATATGGGAGCACTTTAAAATGGAAGCAGGTTTACAAAAGCATTTGTCAGTGATTATTTATTTTCTGCATGGTTCATATCCAAATGTTCACAACCACAATGCATCTGACTACAATAATGTGCTAGTAACTTATGTCAGTGGTCACCTTGCTCACAGCAAAACCAGAAATGCTCTCTCCAGGGAGTAGATGTAAAGTACTTGTATATAGAATTCAGAACTGAAACTATTTATTAAAAGTTGATTTTTTCCTTGATAGTATTTTTATGTGCTAACTATTTACACTAATATCATGACATATTTTGGTAAACTAGAGAGACATAATTAGAGGTATGTGCTTCATTCAGTGCATTGAGGAGAAATTTAAGCAAACCACCCCAGCCAATTCAAAGAGCCAATTCAAAGAACAAATTTTATATTATGTAGATATTTAGCAGTTTTAAAGTAGTTGATATAAACTTAATGACTTGTTCCCTTTTAAGGAAACATAAAATAGGAACTTAATTAGCTGTTTAATGAAGTAGTAAAGTCGAAACACTTTTAAAAGTATGTGAGAGCAGTGCTTCCTGAATTTTACTTAAAGAAACATTAAGTGTTGTTAGCTTAGTGTTTTTTGAAGTCAGTACCTGAACTCTGCAAACATATTATGGAAACTAAAATATAGTTGTGTTGAAGCTCCCAAAGCAGAGAATATACAAGAATTTTTGGATTTTTAACTTTTACAAAGTAGTGACCTAAGCCATTGACTCTATGCCTCCAAAGAATTGCTGCTACATGTGCAAGAATTTATAAGGTCAAAAAATGTGTAAATTCCATATAGTAAAATATCTCTGAGACTTAAAATTTCCCTAGAATGAAATTCTCTCTAGTTTACTTGCATGTGTGTATGTCTGGTACACAAGGGTATTATAAAGATGAACACACACACACACCTGCCTCCCGTTAAGATGTACATAGTCATTACACTCTGACCTTTGAGCTTTCTTTTCTACTAAGCTAAAAATTAGTTTTTATCAAAGTGTACACTACTGATGCTGTTTGTTGTATTGGGAACACATAGTAATAAAAATGTTAACAAAATATAGATCTGGCATTAACTAGATTTTATCATTAGATTCATCCCACAGTAATGGAAGTGTGTCCTTTCCTCCTATAAGGTGAACAGGACTCAGATTCTGTTGCACCTTATTGTTTTTATAAAAAGGCTCATATTAAGAGACAGTGTGTCCTATTTTCCTATCAGGGATATAATAATACTCTTTTAAACAAAACAAGAGGTTGTGGGAGGTGACTTTCTGCTTAAGCCTGTCCCACAGAAGTACAGAAAAAGGATGATGGTCATATTGGTACTTGTGAGAAGAAAATGGGAGCTTCTGCTTTTCAAAATGTGCAATCTCAGAGTGATTTTTAAATAAAAGCTTTCAGACAGCATTGAGGCCTCATCTGAGGCCTGGTGGAAACTGACTTCTCAAGATGCAAGGATTCTGGAGAAGAAGAGAACATGGAGGCCAAAGGCCTTACTGTGTCAGGGAAATGCTGCAGTGTGGTGGCTACACTTTAAATTGAACACCACTCATATTTGATCTCCATCTACCATTTCCTACCTGAGTGTCTTCAAGTAATCCAAGTTCAGAGTTTCCTTATCTGTAACGTGGGAGGCAGAGCTGTCACAGATCATTTCATAATTGCTTCCAGAAATCAGATAATATAACTAAAGCTGTTACCACAGGGCCTGACACACAATTAGTAAATACTAACCCACTGTCATATTCCTCATCATCAATATATAACTGATCCACAGCACTCCTCTAGGATGCACAGCTAGTTTCAATCCTGTCTCTAAGTCTCATTGATGATGATAAAGACTATGGTTTTGGAAATCTAACAACAACTGAACTTTAGAAATCAATGGAATCAACTCATTAAAAATGATCTCTAGTCATTGAGTTTGAAGAATATTACCAAATTGTGCTCACTCTCCCTTTGCAGCAATAAATAGACTAAGGGACTAGCTATACTTCCTTCAAAAATAGTTAGTGCCCCAAACTATTAAATGTTTATCATATATTTGCAATATTTCCCCAAACTATTAACAAATAAAATGTTTCTCATATGTACAGTAATATACTTTGAGGAAATAGCAACAAGTTATAGAATTTTCTTTATAAAGCCATTTAAATATAAGCTATAAGAGAAAATATCAATTGAGTAGTGATTATAAGTAAAAAAAGGTTATCACTTGTTAAAAAAGTACTAAAGAAAAGGGACATGTACAGAAACTGAAATGAAATACCAAATAAAGCATCTAAGAGTGCATGGGTAGTATAACACACCAACTGATAGAAACCATTGCTATGGGCCCAGATCTTTTTTGGATAATCTACTTGGAGCCAGAGACAAAATTTTAAAATTATTAAAATATTACCAACTAAGTATAGAAAACTGAATTTACTAAAATGAATTTGATAACCAAAACATGAATTCCAAGAAGAAAAAAAATGATGACATAAATTTTTGCAAAGTCCCTGCAGAGTTTACCTAAAAATTAGAATTACCTACACTTTCTCCATCCTCATGAATGTGAGGCATGTAAAAAGTTGCTCATGGCAACACTGATGTTACTGAATTAAAACTATTGATTTGTGGGGCCAGGATTTAGCTCAGTGGTTCCAGCACCTGCCTCACAAGCACAAGGTCCTGAGTTTGATCCCCAGTACCAAAAAAACAAAAAACTTTATTTGAAACATTACTCTTTTCCAGCCAATTCATAGTTTTAAATGAATCATTGATTCAACAATGAGCTTTTACCCATTTGATTGTTCACAATTCACTTGGGGCCGAGTAGCAATTGTTGTTGTTTAATCTATTCAGAACTCCAAATATTCTGTCAAGGAAGAGAATGATTATTCACAGCCAAATGTTATTCTTACATATCACCAATGTTACTGTCCTGTCCAATAGAATCACTCTAGAAGTTTAAACCATAATAACAAAGCTCTTTCACAAACCATTACTGGCCAAACAAGTGATGCCACTAAATAACAAATAGAAAAGGTGATCAAAATACATGGTGAATGTTTAAATTTAAAATATTAAAGTAGAAGACACATTGAACCCCACAAAATACTCATGTTTTGAACATGCTATACCATTGTTCTTGCCACTTTCTGAAGCAGTTCTGCAAGTCTTTTGTGTCTTTATCAGGTGTTATAAAAATGCAGTGAATCCTGCTGCTGAGTGCCACCCAACAGAAAGACATGCATCTACTTGATTCACTAGGTTGGACACCATTCTAGCTCTTCCACAGAGTAAAAATGACCATAAAAGGTAAATGTTTTGCCTCATGAGGGCAGCCACAACAGCACAACTAGGGATGCCCTCTTTTCTCCAACCTTCATGCCACATATATGTAACACATGCCTGTATATGTACAAAAGAGAAATGTCAAGTGCTTTACTTTGAATGGTACCATGCTTTGAATGGTAACCCTTAACAGAATTGTGCTTGGAGGATCCAAACAAAACTACAAATATAACAACAGGTTCAGACCACCTCACCATCTCCAATTATACTTCCCTCCTTCTTATCCCATTTCCTGCCTCCACAAATACTCTCTCACCATCCCAACACTTCTCTTATTCTAGCTATAAAAATATCTCCTATTAATCACCTACTGACATTTTTCTTATATCCCTTTCTTACTAATTTATCTCCATCTCCTTTCTTCTTTCCTTCCCCACTTCTGCACATCACAGACTAACTGCTAATAGCAGTGCAGCATAGTCTGTAAGGGCTAATGATAAAAGGGAAAAATTGGCAAAACAAGATTTAATGTTTATGTCTGATATATGGTTGGATCTGTGGATGCTGTTATAACTAGCAGGAATTCTCTCACAATAGAGTGACTGGATCTGACCCAATTAAAGAGAATAGGCTGAAGTAGTAAACAATATCACATCAATGGAAAATAGAACTTAACTAGAGATCTTCATACCAATAACAGTGTCTCCTTATGTGATTTGATCTAACCGTCAGCACAAAATTGTATGAAATATACATTCATATATTCACTATTCATGTATTCATTGTGTGTGTGTGTGTGTGTGTGTGTGTGTATAAACAAGGCAACAAAATGTTTCCAAATACTTCCAGCTCCACCAAAAGAGATACAAGGGGCACTAATAGAGATAAAATCTAACACCAGATAGCTGAACGGTATGAAATGATCAAAGAAAAAGCAAACTTAGTGACCTCAAAGAAGATAAAGCCAGAGTGGAATCAATAAACAAATTGACCATTTGTTTAAATTTAAACAAATTTAAATACCATTAAAGAAGAATCAAATAAGAAATTAGAAGAGCTAACCAAAATCATTCAAAACATGAATGACAAATTTATCATGAAATAAAATCCATGAAAAAGTACCAAACAGAAATCCTAGAGATAACTCCGTTAAATAAATATACAAACAGCATGTCAAGAGAGGGTTTAGACTTCAAGAACAGATCATAAGCACAAGACCATATGCTTAGGGGTACAGTAATTCCCCAATTTACAAACAAATTCCACTCCAGGAGAATGTTCATAAGTCAGATTCATTCATAAGTTTGACAAAGTGAGTCTTACACAACTTGGACACAAATATACAATGTAAAACTTTTCCTCTTGTTTCCGGACATCCTAGGCTCTAATTGAGCACTTTACTACTGTACACTATTGCACTATCCAGTAAGCACACAACATAACAACTGTGAAAATGTCTAGCAGACACACAAGCTACTTCTGTTGTTTGTTCACAACTCAAATGTTTGTATGTTGTGGACTTACTGTACCTTAAAAACAACAAAAGAGTGAAGAAAGTTGCTCAACACATACTAGATGACACTAAGATGAACAAGATTAGAGTTAGAGAAAAATTAGAGGGCAGCATGTATAGAATTTTTAAAAATCTGTTTACAGAACATGTATTAGGATACTTTGCAAGAATGGGAAAGGAATGCAACATACAGGCAAGTGAGGCATATAGAACTCCAAATAATTATTAGAGAAAAAGCTTACTTCCCCAACTTATCATAATCAAAATCCTGGAAGTCAACAAATCAGTGAATACATCAAGCAAAGTGAGCAGTCAAAAACAAAGAAGGGGTAATCATCAGCAGATGAATAAAGAAAATCTAGTATTTATACACAATGTAATACTACTCTGATATAAAGTAGGACAAATTTGAGTCATTTTTAAGACAATGGACACACCTTTTGACCTTAATGTTAAATGAAATAAATTCAAACACCCATGCTTAAATATTGCATGGTTTCTTTTCTATGAGAAAACCAAAGTATACATGAAGAGAAAAATAAAAGGCAGGTAATAGGAAACAGGGAGATAGATCTTTTGTCAAAGAGAAGGGGATCAAGAAATGGAGAAAAGAGGGAGAGGGTTAGGGGATTAAGATGTGTTCTGTACATGTTCTAACCCCTCATAATAAATGTAATCATGCTTTAAAAAATGTATAAATAAAAATCAAAATTTTAAAAATGAGAAAATAAAAAGAATCCAATGACAGTAATATATTTCAGCAATAACTCTCACTGTAAATGTCCAGAACTCCCCAATTAATATACAGACCGGCAACACCAACAGTTTGCTGCATACAACATATATATCTAATCCAAAAAGAAATTCATAAACTAAAAAATTAAAGGATGAACACTAACATTCCATACAAGAAGACTCCAAATGCAAGCAGCGATACCACTGTTATCCTCAAAGTGGACTTCAAGCTTAAACTGATCAGAAGAGAAAAAGAAGGGCACAACATATTAGTTAAGGGACCATTTAAACAGGAAAAGATAACAATTGTAAATATATATGCACCAAATACTGATGAAGGTAACATCATTAAACAAATGCTACTGGGCATAAAGAATCTAATAAACATCAACATAATCATAGTGGGGACTCTTGATACTCAACTATCACAAATTGATGGATCAAGTAGGCAAAAACTTAACAAAGGGTTTGCAGAATTGAACAAAACCTTTGAACAAATAGGCTTCATAGACATTTTCAGCGTGTTTCACCCT